TAACCTTGTTAGGGTCTTCGTTTCTTGGTTACACAGGGAGTCCTGCTGGGTCTGGTGAACCCATTGCATTTTGGGGCTTTTAATTCAACATATTCAAACCTTTTTTGTTAAAATTCTCAGCAGATGTTTACTTCATCCCATTTGCAAGTAATATAAACAAAACATGTTACTTTTGTTCCCTTTACCTTTGTTAAATCACATATATGAATAGAAATGCAACTAATTTTTGCTTGTTTTTTTATTAAAATATAACAAAATAAGGAAATGCATCATAAAACAGGCATAACTGGAAAATAATTAACAAATATACAAATGAAGCAAGTTTTTCCAAAACTATAGTGTATTATTTATTTAAATTTCGTTAGAAATTTAACCTACTCTGTCTGAACAACACAGTAGTCCCATTGAACATGGCTATTTTCATGCCAAACTATATCACACATGAGGGGCAGAGTTTCACTGTGTGTGTATTGCAAATGTACTTCTTGCACTTGGTGCATGTATATTGTGTTTTTCTGTCCATCTTTGGTCCACACACTTCACAGCGCTTCTTTTTGTTGCCGGCCACAATCTATGTGAAAAGACAAGGATCTTTAGCACTTTACTCCTCTTTCTCAGAAACATAAATTATTATACTGCACCAGCATCAAACTCTTACCCCAGGGTCTGCAGGTGATGGTTCTGTAATTTGGCAGGATGTGGCACCATCATCTTCCTCCTGAATCCTCCTCACAATCGCTGCAGAGACTGGGGTTCTTGGAAGATGTCGCCTTCTTCCAATTTGAGGTCTCACCAGTGTTTTCCCCAATTCCTCAAGAAAGAGACGCCTCTTCTGCAGCTTTCCCCTATTCCACTCTGGGCTCAGTGACATCCAAATGACGAAGGCGTTATACGCGGAGATATCCAGCATGTCAAAAAATATCACCAGAGGCCATCGTAGGGTCTTCCTTTTGCAGCTGTAAGTAGTCACCAGTTTATCAAGGTTGTCCACCCCTCCTTTTGTGGCATTATAGTCCATGATTATTTCGGGCTTTTGATGCTCCTGGCCACAGATTCTCCCGTCCCTGTGCAGTGTACTCATGAGCAGCACATTTTTCCCTTTCTTTGGTACATACGATACCAGGGTCGTGTCAGCCGTGTATGCAAACTTTGATGACTGGACAGGCCTGTCCTCTGTTTTCAGCAACTGGGGAGGGAGCTCAGACTTGTTTTTGCGTACTGTTCCCACCATAGTCAGCTTCCGCTTTAGCAGCTCCTGTCCCAGCTTGTGCGATGTGAAAAAATTGTCACACGTGATGTTGTGTCCAGAAAGTCCCTGAGCCATATCGAGGACCACTCTCATGCCTTGATTTTTCTCAGGGGCTCCTCCATTACGTTTCCCTGTGTAGACCTGCAAGTTCCAGGCATAAGATGATGCAGCATCACAGGCAGCCCAAATCTTTATACCATACTTGGCAGGCTTAGATGGTATATACTGCCGAAATGGGCAGCGGCCCCGAAATGGCATCAGCTGCTCATCAACGGTAACATTGGGACCAGGGTTGTAAAACAGGGGGAGACCGGCCACCCACTTGTCCCACACCGTCCTGATGGCAGCCAGTTTGTCTCTCTGCCGTCGAGCTGGTCTATCATCACGGTCATCAAAACGAATGGTCCTGGAAATTATTTAAAAAGTTTTCAGAAACATTGTTGACCGGAAAAGTTCTCTGCCAGTTTCTTCATTCCACAGAGATTCTGTGGCCTCCCCTTTGGACTTGAAAACACCAGCAAGGATAAGAACCCCAAAGTAAGCATTCAAATCGGTTTCGTCCAAAACCTTCCAAGTCTCTCCAAAAACTCTGCTTCCTTCTAAATTGGTGCAATCCAGGATGATTTTCTTGATAGGGTATGGCATGAAAAGGTCAAAAGAAGACTTGATGTCTTGTGCATGAGTGACTGCCAAGCGTGTAGGTCCTGGTATCATCCGAATCACATTGGCAGCCATGCGGGGGGGTTCATTTCTTGAGCAGGAAGACCATTCAATTTTGCCATCTTTTGACATCCATACATTATTTGCAAGCTGCTGACAGTCTTGCCCTATAGCTGGCTGCTCATTGGCTGGACCTGTGGCTTGCTGCTCACCTGCTGGTCTTAGGGCTGGCTGCTGACGGGCTGGTCCTGAGGTTCGCTTGCGTTTTGAAGCTGGCTGATGGGCTGGTCCTTTGCCTGGCTGTTCACGGGCTGGTCCTGAGGCTATTTTACACTTCAGAGCTGGTTGATGCTCATCATCCTCTTCAAACTCATTGTCAGACTCTGAATTTTCAGAAATGTGATCCTCGCATTCTGAAACGTTTTCCTCTGCATCACCATCAAAACCCTCTGTCTCTTCCAATATCAACTGTAAGGCAGTCTGAACAGACAGTTGCT